GGCTCCCCCCGCGCCCCGGAGCCCCGCGCGGGCCCCTGCCGAGCGCTGCCATGTCCGGTAACAGCAACGCGGCCGCGTCGGCGGTGAGTCCTGAGCAAGTGACGCTCGCAACTCGGGTTTCCGGACCAGTGGTGCAATGATTGGCTTACAGGTTGCCGCCATCTATCGTCCATTGGTCCCAACCACTATCCGTCTTCCCCGTCCCGCCCCCGCCCGATAGCTTTTAAAGGGCCAGGCGCCGAGTTGTCCTTTGGAAGTAAGGAGATCAGCAGGGGGCGGGCGGGGTTGAGAATGGAGGGGCTGTCTGGAGCGGAGGGGTCCCCGTTCCTGCGCGGATCTGGGTGGGATTCCTCCACGGCTGGCATCCACGGCTCTAGGTTTAGTTGACCCAGCCCAGGAAAGCTCGTGTGCAGAACACGGGGTGCGGTTCCCGGGATCCTTTCACACGAGGCGGGGCCGCCATCTTGGGAAGGCGTCCCCCCTGCAGAGGGGACGGCGCGCCCCGTCTCCCAGCGGTACCCAAAGGCCTTGGCGTGCAGCGTCTCCCCTTTTTCCGTTTTAGCAGCCACCTAGCCCCAGCCTGCTCGAAAAACCTCAGCTGACAGCGCGGCCACTGCCCCGGGGGGCGCCGGCGCTTCCTCCCCCCGCCCCCCTCGCAGCTCTGGCCGGGCGCGGAGGCGAACCCCGAGCGTGCGGGCCGCCCCCGAGATAAAGAGGCGGCGGCGCTTATCTCCCCGCCCAGCCTGCCGGCGAGGGGGTGCTCGGCCGTTGCAGACGTGCCCGAGCACTGGACTGCGGGTGGGAAGCCCTCTGCCCACTATTGGCCGTGCGCCCTGGACAAGCCGCTTCACCCTCGGAGTCGGCCGACACGGCCCCAAAGGTGCCTGCCCTGGCTACCCGATAGGTGGCTATGAAGATTAAACGGTAGCTCCAGCGTATACATGCTAAATAAAGAAGTTGTAGTGGAACAATTTGACTTAAATATGCTCTGCAGCGTCAATGAAATTAAGGGATTGTTGGGACCTAGCAGGACCTTACAGTCCTTTCTGTTGTCTCCCTGTGGCCCAGAATTTTAGTGGCCATGTGTAGCATTACAGTCCTAGCCTAATTTGCTCAGGTCCCCGAGGGTTTATTTTTTAGAGAATTGGTAGCAATGGAAAAGACGAATCCAAGAGCAACCAGCTGTCACCTCCTCAGATGCCTGCCTGGCAAAAGAGCTCCATGGGATAAAGGTCGCAGAACAGGGAAGTTGAAAGTATCTGCGCTGGCTACTGTCAGATCTAGAAAGAAATAGGACCTCACATTGAAGAACCCAGTTCTACTTGCTTGGCACTGAACACCTTTGTCCTGGAAGGAGAAAGAGTTTTTTGAGTTCTTGGTTTGATTTTTGGTGTCCCAATATTTCCTTGTTGGTGAAACCAGAGGCAGCAGCCTAAGTGAGTGCCTCTTAGTCTTAAAGAACATCAAAGGCAGAAGATACTTGGGTCCAAACCTCTTCATTTTATAGATAAACAGTAAGTACTGATGGGATGATGTGCTCAAGGTCACCCAGCCAAGAGGCTGAGCAGGACTGTACATCAGATCCATTGACCCCAGTCCTTTATGTATCATTCCTACTGGATTAGGGGATTCATAGTTTGGCAGCTTTCGCTAGTACTTGGATAGGTGGCACGGAAGTTTCCTTAAGTGCCTGCTCTGTTGTGGATGCTGAACTTGTCCTCAGTGACTCAGCATCTAAGTTCCCCTGTGTGGCCCCAGCTGCCCTGCCGCTGCCTGCTGCAGGCGCCACCCTCTCTGTGGCCAGGCTGATGGTTCCTTATCTCTTTACCCACCTGGCTATGTGCAGCACTCCCACTGCCTTGGCCAGGATGGGCTTATGAGTTACAGTGTCCTGGTTATTGCAGCAATAGCAGATCCTACTATCGTTTCTCTCTGGTCTCTGCTTCTCTGGGACTGTGAGGAGGGCAGAAGGTACTGAGGAAAGTAAAGGGACAAGTCTTGGGATATTTCCGTATTCCAGGGCTCAGGCGGCCACAGGCCAGGGACTGAAATTCCTTTCTTCCAAGCCAGTGATTCTGTTTCTTGGACAAGGTGTTAAAGAATACGGGGAACAGAGGGGACTGTGACCTGGGGAATTTTAATTTTTTTTGCAGGAGGGAAACAGCCCAAAGATGAGAGTGATTCGAGTGGGTACTCGCAAGAGCCAGGTGAGTGCAAGTACTAGGTGGAGGTTTGTTGGAAGAGTTCTGTGCTCACAGTATTATAAGTTGGGATGGGGGGGTGGGGGGCTGAGGGTTAGTTCCCAGCAGCTTGGGGATGGAGGAAATGGGGTGGCTGGGTGTTAAGTTTTATGCAGAATGGCAGATTACATTCTGTGGAAAGAGAGTTCCTGGGCTAGGGAGGTTGTTAGTGTGCAGAGGACTCCCAGACCAGACCCCTCTTCTTCCTAGGTGGGCATTCAACCCCCTTTCTGAATTCCAGTCCCTTCAGGGTTGTCCTGAGCCTATGAGCATCTGAGCCCAGGGCCGTGGCCAGGGAGGGAAAGGACTAATCCAAATTTCTGCCCCCAGCTGGCTCGCATACAGACGGACAGTGTGGTGGCAATGCTGAAAGCCTTAAACCCAGGCCTGCAGTTTGAAATCAGTGAGTTTTCCAGACAGGAATGAAAATTAATGGGAAGCTCTTACCCACCCTGGAAGCGAGAGCACAGTGTTTCTGGCTTCATAGCCTGGCCTGTTGCCCCCAAGAACTCGTGGCTGTTCCCAGTTTGAAGGGCCCTCTCCTCTTCTACCTGGGCTAGCCGGTATTTAAGGTCTTCTGCTTTGGGTCTTTTTATGAGGGTGTCTGCTCTTGCTAGATCGTACATTCCCAAAGGGTTGGGACTGGGGCTTATGTGCCTCAGTGTCCACCTTGAATCTTAGCCTAATGCCGGGTTTAGTAGGGGCTCAATAAATGCTGATCAATGGGTGATTGACTCTCTCCTCAGTTGCTATGTCCACCACAGGGGACAAGATTCTTGATACTGCACTCTCTAAGGTAACACCACCCCCCAGTCCTTGTCCCCTTCCTCTTTCCTTACCCCGAGAAATTCACCCACACGCTTTCTTGTGTGGCAGATTGGAGAGAAGAGCCTATTTACCAAGGAGCTGGAACACGCGTTGGAGAAGAATGAGTGAGTGACAGGAGAGTGGCCCAGCCTCCTGCTAGGACCCCAGTGGCATCAGACCCCTAGGTATCAGCGAGGCTGGGCTGAGACCCTTGGAGAGGCTCAAGGAGGAGTTATGTGTGTTTTTTTAGGCATCAGAAAAGGAGAGCGTCCTGGTTCTGAGCCATCCGGCTGTCTGGAGTGCAAGATTGAGTGGGAGGGGTAGGGTAGGAGAGTGGGGAGAAAGGGAGCAGGTCTCAGGGTCCTGAGGTCTCTAAGAGGCCTGCTTCTAGAATTGCTCCTGGCTCTGCCACTGAAATAGAGGCAGAGGTAGGTAGAGAAGAGGGGGAGGCCTGCTGCCCGACCCCTTCTCCTTGTCCCCTATCCCATCTCTCTAGAGTGGACCTGGTTGTTCACTCCCTGAAGGACCTGCCCACTGTGCTTCCTCCAGGCTTCACCATTGGAGCCATATGCAAGTAAGTGGCCTCTGAGTCGGCCGGGGCTGGGGAGGGGTGGGAGTAGGCAGCAAGTTAACCTTGGCTTTTCCCTTTAGGACTTCGCCCTCTGCCTCTAGGGTTTTCTCCCCTGCCCCGAGGAGTATTAAACATGGTAGAAAAGCTCAGAAAATGCCAGTTAGTTGGTTATCAAGAGAAACGAAGTGATCTGAGCTGAGAACTCTGATTCTGTGACCCTCCCTCCACCCCTAGGCGAGAAAACCCCTATGATGCTGTTGTCTTTCACCCAAAATTTGTTGGGAAGACTCTAGAAACCTTGCCAGAGAAGAGGTGAGTGGGGCCTGGATAGGTGGAATATGCACAGAAGATGGAGGGTTGGAAGGAAGAGGAATGGAACAGTGCCTGCCTAGGGTTAAATCTCCTTTTAAACCCTCTCTCTGAGCAGCGTGGTGGGAACCAGCTCCCTGCGGAGAGCAGCCCAGCTGCAGAGAAAGTTCCCACATCTGGAGTTCAAGAGTATTGTATCCTTTTAGAGAGGACAGCAGCTAGCAACCAGGTGGAAGAGGAGGTCCAGAGGAGCCCAGTCCTGAAAGTGGAAGGGACTTCCAGAAGTAGACCATGGGGGCCGTGGGTTGTCTGTCTTCCCATTCATCCACTCATCCATCCAACCACTCATAATCCCTTCCTATTTTCTCAGCCCTAGACAAGTGCTTGGCACTGGGGATAATGGTGAGCAAGGTCAGCATTGTCCCTGCTCATATAGAGTTTACATTTTGGTTTGGGAGACAAACAGGCATTAATAATACAGAGTGATCCTGAATAGTGATTACTATGGGGGCGTGAAAGGGAGTATGGAGAGTATTTCCACTTTTATTTTCCGTATTGTTTTGATTTTTACAACGAACATGTATGTTTTAAAAAACTAAAATAGTATGTGCTCCAATGTGCAAAGTAAGGAATTCTCTGGCAGCTTCTAACTAGAACATCTAAACACAGACTTCGGGGTCAAGGAAGGTTTCTGAGAGATCTTTGTAACCTTGGGCAATTTATTTAACCTACCATTTTCCTCATCTGTAAAATGTAGATAGTAAAACCTACCTCATAGAGTTTCTGTGAAAATTAAATGAGTTGACATATGTACATAGCACTTTAGAATAGTATCTGGCATGTAGTATGAGGTATTAGCTGTTCCCATTAAGCTAAGAACCAAAAATGAGAGGTTAGCCAGTTAGAAAGTTTCAGGCAGAGGACAAGGCTTATGGTCCTTAGCATCTCTCCACAGCGGGGAAACCTCAACACACGGCTTCAGAAGCTGGACGAGCTGCGGGAGTTCAGTGCCATCATCTTAGCCGCGGCTGGCCTGCAGCGCATGGGCTGGCAGAACCGAGTGGGGCAGGTAGGGGCTATCCCTATTCCCTCCCCAGTTAATCTTTGTCCCCTTCCTGCCTATCTGCTATTTCGGACACCTTGTCTCTAACACTATAAGCTGAAAACAAGTCCCGGGCTGGGAAGATTGGCAATCAGAGGCCAGACTTCTTTTGCCTGTACATGCTTTCTCTGTGATAGGGAAGCCCTATCTCACTGTCCTGTGCCTTTAGTTACCCCCATCTCCATGCTTCTGCTCCCACAGATTCTGCACCCTGAGGAATGCATGTATGCTGTGGGTCAGGTATGCTTGGCCAAGGAGCTGATTGTACAACCTTCTGCATCTGCTTCCCCTAGCATAAAAGTTCCTAGGAAGGGGCCTTGGGACGCTACTCTACCAAAAGGCCTTGGGGAGCACGTGGAAGTGGGCTGGTTCCTATCCTTAGCTCCATTGGTTGGGAAAAGATTGGGCCTGATGTTCTTCCATCAGGGGGCCCTGGGTGTGGAAGTCCGAGCAAAGGACCAGGACATCTTGGATCTGGTGGGTGTGTTGCATGATCCTGAGACTCTGCTTTGCTGCATTGCCGAACGGGCCTTCCTGAAGCACCTGGTAGGCCATGTGTTCCACATGTGGAATGCTGGGGCAGGAGCTGGAAAGGGTAGTGGGGAGATTCCTCAAATTGATGCTCTGTATTTAGTGGTAACTCATTCTCGAATGTTGTGTATGAAGAGGACTGGGGCCCTAGCCGCCTTTTCAGTTATGCCCTCACAGATCTATGGATTTCTGAGGACTCTGGTCACAGGGTAGTTAAGGGTCTTTGGAGCTCACAGGAAGAACTTCTTACTGCAGGAAGGAGGCTGCAGCGTACCAGTAGCAGTGCACACAGCTATTAAGGATGGACAAGTAAGCAGGGAAGACGGGTGGAGGGAAGGAAGGACTGTGGCATTTCTCCCTGTGCATGCCAAATTGCCAGCAAGCAGAGCCCAGGTTTCTAAGCAGTTTCCTCTCAGGATATATATACTTAGACAACTGCTTTCTTTCCCAGCTGTACCTGACTGGAGGAGTCTGGAGTCTGGATGGCTCAGATAGCATGCAAGAGACCATGCAGGCCACTATCCATGTCCCTGCCCAGGTACCAAGGCGAGGGTGAGGGTAAGAAGTCTGCCTCATCTCTCCTTTTGTGCTCACCAATTTCAATCTTTTTCCCTCATCCAGCATGAAGATGGCCCTGAAGATGATCCACAGCTAGTGGGCATTACTGCCCAGAACATTCCACGAGTAGCCCAGCTGGCTGCCGAGAACCTGGGCATCAGCCTGGCCAACTTGTTGCTGAACAAAGGAGCCAAGAACATCTTGGACATTGCACGGCAGCTTAATGATGCCCACTAACTGGTCTATGGGGCACAGGTGCCTGGGTTGCTACTGTCCAGTGCCTGCATCCCAGCCCTCAGTGCCCCATTCTTGTTGCCAACTGGATTGCCGCAGTCCAGGGGGTTGAACTGCAGGGTCAGCTTCCAGGGGCTGCCTTGTCTGTTCAGTAGGTGGGGCTTCATCTCTACTGAGTCCAAGCCTTTGAGTATAACCAACCTTACTAATAAACCAGCTCTGCAGGTGTCTTTTGTTTTGGTGGAGTTGCAGGAAAGGACAAACACAAAACCCTTTATTCCTTCAGAGGCTGGGAACTCTGTCCAAAGCTCTTCTGAACCCTCGTTTCTGCCTCAATAGTTCTCATTTCACCTCAAAACAATAACTTATGTCCCAGGGACACCCAAGAGCAAGCTATAATCTTAAAATCCTATACTTTGCTCTCTCCTGTTAACCAGTCTTCTAACTGGTAGTCCTCCCACTACAGTACCCTCAGGAGAACAGAGGGATCTAAGTCATCCATCCTACAACACTTTGAGGCAAAATGAAAACAGGACACGTTTTAAAAAAATCCTTTAATAAAATCAGTCCATCTGAAACTTCCCAATACCTAAGGTACTACTCCTGGGTAGGGTAGCTGCTCAATTCCAGTTCGGAAGCCTGCGGAGGCTGGGCCCAGGCGGGGATCACCGGATTGTGCTGGTACCTAGCTCGGGGCTGCGGGGAGCGGGGAGGCCTGGCTGTTCGTCCGCCCCGCGGGAACGCCGGGACCCGGCCTCGCAGCACAGCCCGTGGGCGCCCGGCGCCGGGAGGCTGCACGTCCCGGTCTGTCCCCGCCGCTCCGCACAGGCCTGGAACGAAGATGGAGGGAGCGATGGGGAAGGCCTGGGGTCTGGCCGCAGAGGGGACGCCCGGACTAATTTAAGGACCGAAGTCTTCTCCACCAAAGCCTGGAAGGAAGTCAACAGCCATGTGTGAGGGGGCGACTAAGCACCGAGCTGGAGAAGCTGAGGGGCTCCGCCGGCGACTCACCTTCCGGGGCCGCGGCCGCTCCCCTCAGCCTACGTCAGCGCAGCGGGCCCGGCCTTCCAGAAGGTGCCGCAGCCCGTACACCCCCAGAGGGCAGGGCGGCTGGGCCACAGCTCCGGCCGCGAGGCCTCCGCGGTGGCTCCGGGCCGGAGAAGGGG